CACATCCCTGTCCCAGCACAGTGCTTGTGGAGCCGGTGGCTTTGCCCTAAGACCATCATGTCCTGCTGCTTAATCTGCCCTGGGTTCTGGCGTGGTTTGAGGCTAAGATTTGGGCTGGAGGGAAAGAGGCTCCCACTTCTGTTGCTGCCGTGGGAAACAGCAGCAAGGCCTGGAGCTGCCCCCTGCAGGTGGGTGCCGGGCTCAGGGCTCCGAGCCCACCTGGGTCCCACACCTCGGGGCAGGGCTGAGCTGCAGCTGGGCCGTTGTCGGACAACTCCCGGGCCTGCCCTCGCTCTGCTTCCCCACAGGGATGCCCGTGGTTCTCCCATGACTCACATGCTGTCACCTGTGAGTCACTCCAGCAGCTGGGCAGGGGACACTGCGTGGGACAATTCCCCACGTGCTGCCTGGAGCTGCGGCAGCAGCTGTTGTGCCTGGGATGCTGTGGCGCTGCTCGTGCAGCTGCTGCTCACCCTGGGATCGTGGTCAGGGCAAGAGCAACGTTCCTGGTGAAGGAAATTGCATTGGACACGGTTGTGCAACTACGGTGGCACTGGAGAGGCTTGGGTGCTCACGCTGGGTGTGGTGTACCCTGGAACAGCCTGCAGGGCTGGGGGACAACCCGGGCTCTGGGGGCTCCTGCTGCATCCCTCAGGCTGACTGCAGGTGTTCATACCCACGGTACTCTGATGTGCCCCTGATGAGGGGATGGCTGTGTGTCCCACTCTGTTTGGGATGGGGTGGGAATAGTGGGAATATGGGACCCACATCGCTCCTGCAGTCCCATCCCTGTGTGTGGCCAGTAGTGCCGCTGCACAGTGCTGCCTTCACAGCTGCGTGTGCACTTTTCCAGCACAACCAGTCCCTCCCAGCAGAGCGAGGAATGCAGGGAACTGGGATGTGGTCCAAACGAGCCCACCTGATGCCAGTAGCGGAGCATGTGGGAAGCAGGTCCCTGGGATTGCACTCACCCGTTGTCCCGCCTCCCTCCCAGCACCTCCCCGATCCCTTTCCAGCACTCTGCTCCCGCAGCTCTGGTTCCCTCTCCCGGTGTCCGCTCGCACTGCACGGCCGAACCCGGGCTGGGGCTGCCCTGGGGGGGGGTTCAGCACTGCCTGATGGGGGTCTGGCCGTGGTCTCTCCGTGTATCATCATGGGGAGCAGAGCTCTGCGTGTCGCCGCTCCCACTGTCCCAATCCTCTGCTCCCACCCTGCTCGGTGCCATCGCCACGTGGCATCCTCCTGGTTTGAGGCATAGGGACGTGTTGTGGCAGGGACACAGGGCGGGCACCGCTGAGAAGAGACAGAGGGCAGGGATGAGGCCAGCAGGGCTGGGCTGAGTGCTGCCACGTGCCGCTGTGCCGGATGCATCCACGCCGGCATCTGCGGGAAAGCCCCAGGGAGGGCCTGGCCCCTGCGGGCACCCAACAGGTCCTGGGTGCTGCGGTGGGTGCCTGACTCATCCCGGAAGGGATTAGGGACACGGGGACATGGGTGATGTTCCGGTCCAACCAGCCCGTCCACCCCGGGATGGACATTGGCGTCACAGGTCCCTGCTGCCCGCTGCCACTCACAAGGAAGGTGGACCCACCATGGGACCCGCTGCCCCTGTTGGCCACGGTGAGGATGGGCATGGGGCACCTGGGGTCGGAGGGGCAGGATGGCACCGAGCTGGGGTGCTGGGATGGTGCTGGTGGCTGGGTTGGCCTAGGGGACGCAGCTATGGGTGCCCAGAGGAAGAGGGCAAGAGGTTTAAGGTGCGCTGTACGGGGCTGTGGTTTGCTCAGCAGCAGTTGGCCAAGGGTCTGTGTCCCATACAATGCCAGGGTGGGACCCCAGACCCAAGAAGTGTGCACTGCAGCTGGGCTGTGGGTGTGTGCCCACGTTCCTGGCCACTCGTTGTCTCTGGGCCAGCAGCATCCCCCCCATGCAGCCCCTTGCCCCATCCCCGCAGGGGATTTCCTTGGATGGGAGTGGGCTGTTCCCTGCCTGCAGTGGGTTCAGAGCTCAGCTCCTCACCACCCGCCGGGGCTTTCAGCAGGACCACAGAGTTCTGCTCTCGCTCTGACTGGCCCTGCCTTCCCATCACCCTGTGCTTGGGGCTGTCAGCGATGTCCTGGGGCTCCCTGACCCTGTATGACCCAGAACCCTCCTGAGATGGGAATGGTTACACAAGGGCTGAACCCATCCCCAGGCCCACGTTGTCCCATCTTCCTGTTCCTCAGTTGTCCTTAGGCAGGGCGCAGAGGCCCTGCTGGGTTCCCACACGTCCCTATGTGCTGTCCCCTCTCTCTGGGACACGAGGGCAGGGCTGTGGTGGTGTCTCCGTCCCCGTGCAGCCTATAGCCAGAAGTGACGACGCGTGGGACCCTCTCCTTCCTGCACTCCCAGGAGAGGCGCAAACGGGGAACAGCAGGGGAACTGGCTTCCCCTCTGACTCACACGTTGGGCAAGGCCGGGCTTTTGGTGGCTGGAGCACCGCGGTGGCCCCGATGTGCGCACGGGAGCTGATGTCAGTCGATGTGCCCCGATATAAGGCCCGAGCTGGTGGGGATGCTGGGGGCTCCGCATCGGCTGGGTGCTCTCAGCCATGTGCTCTGTTCCAGCTCCAAGGCCCTGCAGATGTTCTGGTGCCAGTGGGAGTCTCCCAACCCATGTCCACCTGCTGAGCGGTGCAACCCTGGGGATGTGGCTGTGCCTCCTGCTCCTGATGGCTGCCTGCGTGCCCACCTCCACCTCCAGCCCTGGTATCAAGGGCCGGGTGACCCAGAGCGCTCTGGAATATGGTAGGTATCTGCACTTGCTTGGGCTGTGCTGGTGGTGGTGGGGCCTTTAGGAACCACGCTCAGATGCTGAGGATGGGTGTTGGAGGGACTCTGGGTGCCCCTGTGCCAGCCCTGAGCTCCCTGCTTTGCCCCAGGCCGGAGCTTTGGGCTGGATCTGCTCTGCTCGCTGCTGCAGAAGGAGCACAATGTGAACCTACAGGGCTCCTACCAGGCCCCACTCCTGGGGAGACTCAACTACACCGTGCCTCAGTAAGAGCTGCCCATGTGTGCTCGTCTCATCCCCATCCCTGTCCGCATCTCCATGTCCCTCCCCATCCCCATCCCCACGTCCACCCCTGTCCCTTTTCCCCATCCCCGGGGCACTGCTTTGAGCCCCAGCCACCCCTTGTGTGCAGGATCCACATCCACGAGCTGCAGATGAACGACTCCACCGTGGACTTTGCTGAGGATGTGGGTGTGCAGCTGACAGTGCAGCGTGCCCGGATCCAGCTCAGTGCCACCTGGCGAGCACAGCTGAGTGCTTGGTGAGTCCTCGCTGGGCCGGGATGTGAGGACAGGGACAGGGCCACCTCTGTCCTCGTGCTCAGCTGTGCCATCCCCAGGCAGGACAGCGGCTCACTGCGGCTGCATATCAGGGACCTGGCGGTGGCTGTGCTGCTGGGGCTGGGTGCTGATGAGCAGGGCCAGCCCTCCATGTGGGCTGCCGGCTGTGACGCCCGCGGCACCGACCTGCGTCTGGAGTTCCACCAGGGACAGAGGTGACCGTCACTCCATTGCTCCTGCTGTGGCTCGGGGGTGGGATGGGGAGGTGAGCTGAGCGCCTGCTCTGTGCCCCACAGCTGGCTGTACAACCTCCTGGTGCCGCTGCTCCAGAGAACCCTGAGGCAGCAGCTCAACAAGCAGGTGAGCTCGGCTGGTGACTCCAGTGCTGCCCCTGTGCCTTAGAGAGGAGCTCAGGGACCCCTACCCTGAGCCTCCCTGACGCTCTGCTCTGCTTCCAGCTCTGTGTTGAGATCCAGAAGGGCATTGGCAGGCTGCAGGACAGCCTGAAGAACGTGCGAGGTGGGTGGGGAGAGGAGGCAGTGGGACTGGGGGCTGGTGGGACACGAGGGTCTGGCTCATTCCCTGTGTGTCCCCCCACCCTGCAGTGTCTGCTCAGCTTGACCCCTTTGCTGCCATTGACCTCTCGTTGCTGGGACAGCCAGCGATCACAAAGCAGCACGGGGACGTTGACCTCAAGGTAGAGCCATCGCACAGGGAACTGGGCTGGGCCTCACATTCATCAATCCATATGTCATCCCTGTGTCTGTCCTCGCAGGGAGAGTTCTTTGGGGTACGCGGGCGGTGGCAGAGCCCTTTCTCAGCACAGCCTGTGGAGCTGCCTGAGCTGCAGGAGCCCATGCTGCTGGTGGCTGTCACCGAGTTCGTCGCCAACACTGCAGCCTTTGTGTATTTCACAGCCGGAGCTCTGCACAGAAACATCACTGCTGAGATGGTACGGGTGAGGGCAGAGCTGCTGCCCCCTGGGGTCCTGGCCGTGGTGCCCCTGTGCCCCCACATTACCCCAACCTCTGTTGCCTTTCAGCTCCCACGGCGCTTCCCCCTGAAGCTGAACACAGAGAGCATGGGGAGCTTCGCCCCACAGGTGGGTGTGGGGTGGGGGCCATGAGGCCATGGGGAGGCATGTGGGAGGGATGGGACGTTTGGGACGGAGTTCAGGCAGGCTGAGGCATAGGGTGGGATGTGGGAGAGATGGGATTCAGGATGAGATGCAGCTGGGACAGGACACAGCTGTGTTGTGATGCAGGAAGATGAGACATAGGATGGGATGCAGCTGGGATGTGGGCAGGATGGGGTGTGTTGTCACTCCCTGGCTGTGGTGCTGCTGGGTGCTGGCAGTGCCATGGTAGCTCGGTGCCAGCCCTGCCCTCACTCTGCCAGCTGCAGCAGCACTTCCCCAGCCGCCCTGTGGAGCTGCACCTCTGGGCCCGCCGGCAGCCCCTGCTCTCCTGCCATCCCAACGCCCTGCATGGGGCTCTCTTCGGCTCTGCTGAGGCCTTCGTGGTGCTGCCCAATGCCACCCGAGTCCCTGCTTTTCTGCTGAACATTGTGAGTGCCAGGCTGCCACAGCACTGGGGCTGGGGGCTGTGTGTGCTGGGTGACACAAGGTGATGCTGGGGCCATGCGGGATCGATGCTGGCGCTGCTCCGGTCTCTCTGACCTCTCCTCTTGTTGCAGGATGTCAATGTGACAGGGAAGCCAACCATTGCTGGGAACAGGCTGGGGGGCACAGTGGGGCTGAAGAGGTGAGTCCCCAGCCCTGTGCTGTGTCCAGGCTCCTTGAGCTGTCTCCACACTCCACCTCTGGCTATTCCCATCCCTGGGTCCGTGTCATCGGCTCCGACTCCATCCTGCTCCTGATTCTCACCTGTACCCACTGCCCTGCTGCTCAAACTCTATCCCAGTCCTCAGCCCCTTCCTGCCCTATGGAGGGGACAGCCCCATCCCTGTGCTTGATGCTGACTCCTCTCTCTCCTCTCAGCCTCAGCGTGGTGCAGATGATGTCATATGTGGGCCCACTGCAGGTGAGTGGTGGTGATGGGGCCACAAGTGGATGAGGAGGGGGGCGGGGGGGGGTGAGGACAACACCCCGCATGGGGCCAGGGGCTGAGGGAGATGTTCTTGCTGCACTCATGGATGTCCTACAGGTGGAGAAGCTGGAGAACATGCTCAAGTTTGGGCTGTGGCTGTTTGGGGTGCCCTGGGCCAACAGTAAGTGCTGTGTCCCCTTCCTCCTGAACCCCCAACATCCCTGTGCCACTCCACTCACAGCTCTGCTATCCCTGCAGAGCGGCTCCGTCCCGGCATCCCGCTGCCCACCCCGCATGGCATCACCCTGCTGCACCCACGCCTGTCATTGCACAAGGTGGGTGACATCCCTGTCCCCTCACCCCTGTCCCTGTGCCACCATGCCCTTCTCTTACTGTCTCTCCACGCAGGGCTTCGTGCTCATCGCCACAGACCTGCACTACAAGCCTTGAGACCTGCATCTGCGTGGGAAGATGCTGGCACTGTACGCTGTATTGCATCCCCATCCCTCTCCCCATCCCACTGGCATCTCATGCCCTCACAGCCTCGGCTGAGCAGTGGGTCCTATACCCCATCGGCTGGGATTAAAGCTGGCAGTGTGGCTCAGCCTGGCTGTGTGTGCCTCGTCCCGCTGCCAGCCCCGCACGGAGCCGTCACCACCGCATTACGGCGTGGTGCTCCGTGGGGACGGCGGCACCCGCTCGTGGGGATGAGCCTTCGTGCCTCCCGGTGCCTTCGGCGCCCCCCCGGTCCCACTGAGTTGGGGAGGTGCTCGGGGGATCCCGCAGCCCTCTCGTGTCGCGATGCCGTCGAGCAGCTCCCGGTTCGCCCGCGCGAGGGAGCCCGTGCCCGTGGCTCCGGGAGCAGGGAGCGCTCAGCCCCGGGCTTACAGCATCCATCCGCAGCGCCGCGCTCGGGGGCTCCGCAGAACCAAGGGAGGGGATAAAGGACGAGGTGGTGTCTCCGTGGCCGGGCCCCGCAGCAATCTGCCTCTCCGAGCCCTGCGTTCCCCTTCTTACGGCTTCAAGAGCAACCCCCAGCCCAGCAGGGGTTGCCAGGGTGCCTCCGGCTATGCTCCGTTATCCTCGCGTTGGGGGCACAGCCCGAGGACGGACACAGGAGCCCGATCCCAGTGAGGAGAAGCAGAAGAGCTGAGCATGGATTTGTGCCGGATGGGGAGCAGGCAGCACCGTGCCCCGGTCCTGTGTGTGCTCCAACCCTGCCCAGCAACCCCGGGCACAGCTGTAACCCCCACCCCAATGGGGACAGAACCCGGTGCCTCGGCTCCTGTTCTGCCCCCCCTCCCTCCCCCCTCCACAGGGCAGCCCTGCATAAAGCCCCACAGTGTGACACAAAAAAACACAGCACCAGTTCCAATCACAGAGTTTATTTGTGGGCTCACCTCCACCTGCAAACCAAAGCGTTCAGCGTTCGCCCCGCAGGGCCGGGGAGCGGGGCTTGGAGAACACCCCACTCACACCCCACTCCCTCGAGCGCTCCATCAGCAGCGGAGCCCGGCCCCAGCCCTCTGCAGAGCGTGGCACCACACATAAATACAGACGTACAGATAACAAAAATAGCATTAGAGTATTCACAAATGAATAAAAACTACTCGGATATGTACAGCAGAGCGCGGGCGCTATGTACACAGCCCAGCCCACCGGGACAGCCGGGGGGCGCTGGTGGTCTCCCAGGGATGAGGAGTTGCTCCTGAGGAAGCAGTGTGGTCACCTCTATCACTTCACACATCCGTCACAGCCACACCACGGGGCAGGGACCCCACTGCCTGCGCTTTGGGGACCAGCAGCAGCTGGGAGAATGTGGCCACCGGCTCTCAGCTTCTGCCACCCGCTCAGCCCTGCTCCCACCCCTGGGGTTGGCTTCTACATTACATTGGTCCCATAGGCTCTCGCCTACCCCAGCCGTTCCCCTGCTGTGGTCCCAGGGATGTACAAGAGCCTCATCCTGCTGCCCGTGGGGTCCTGATCCCCTGGCTGTTTTACACTCATTCTGTGCTCCTGCGTTTGCTGGGATGCTGTGGTCCCACAGGTGAGCCCCTTGTGCCACCCCCCCCCTACTCTGGCTGTGTGTCTGCAGGAAGGGGAAGTGCTCCTCAATTCCCCTGCCTCCATCCCGGCCCCAATGCAACAGCGAAGCGGGGTCCTGGCGTGGGGTGCGTGGGGAGGGACGGACATGGGGCAGAGAGGAGGGCATGCAGTGCCACACAGCGACTCTGAGCAAAGGGAGGGGGATGAGGAAGAGGGGGTTAAGAGGAGGAGGTACAGCCCTGTGCCTGGTGTAGGTGCAGGGGACAGAGGCTCTGGGGCTGCCAGGCAAGTTAGGGGCTACTCACCATCAGCCTTCTCCCAGTGCCCTCTGCCTCACTGCAGTGCCAGGCAAGCAGGGGACAATCGAGAGATTTGACAGGGATGGCAAAGCTCAGCCCTGTCCCTGTGGTGGCCAGGCTGCTGCAGCAGGGCAGGGCTGGTAGCAGGAACCCTGCTGGAAGCTGGAGCCCAGATCCTTGCTCTGGCTGGGGAACTTTATATTAGTGACACATCTACACACACGCACGCACTCACACATGCAAAAATAAGTCTGTTTATTCTTTTCAAAGTGATCTAAAGGATCCTGCAGGGCTGGGACACCTTCTAGCCACTACTGGTGGGATCTGCCCAGCACTGGGAGCTGTTGGCTGAAGTGCTGCATCGCTCTCAGCGCCTTTAAAACACAACGGAACGGTAAATGAGAGGGGCTACAATAAAAGGAGCTGGCGGCGCAAGGGAAGGAGCTCCGTGGAGCTGGGTGAGGGCCCCGTGGTGGTGGTGGTGCTCGGGAGCTGGGTGGTGGATGTGGCGGTGAAGGCGCAGCCGTCCTGGTGCCAGGGGACACAACCACGGGGTCACTTGCGGCTCAGCAGGGATCCCAGCAGAAGCACTCCGGCCACGGTCGCCCCGGTCAGGAGCCATTTGTTGAAGGTCTCCTGGCCCTTCCTCAGCTCGGCAGCAGCGTTATTCCCATACAGGTCCACAAAGCGCTCCTGTGGGCAGAAGAGAGCGGTGAGCAGGGAGAAGGAATGGGGCTGCAGTGCCAGCAGCGAGCAGCAGGGCGGTTGGGGCGCTGGAGAACAGCCGGCCCTCAATCCCAGAGCTCACAGGGCTCCCTCACCTCTGCTGCCCACTCCTCAGCCACAGTGCGGGCTGTGATGATTTGGGGCTCTCCTACACAAAGCTGGAAAAGGCCGAGGCATCCCGGGAAACAGAGTCACAGAATGGTTGGTTGGAAGGAATCTCACAGCTCATCCAGTCCCCAACCCCTGCCACGGGTTGGTTGCCTCCCCCCCAGCTCAGGCTGCCCAGGGCCCCATCCTCCAACGATGGGGCACCTACAGCTTTCTGGGCAGCAGTGCCAGGGCCTCACCGCCCTACCGACAGAAAGGCTGCCAGGCTCCCACAGGCAGGAAAGCACTGGTGGGGACCGAGCGGATGACAGACGCCGTGTGCTTCCTTGCTCTGAATTATGCACACAGGACAGGGGGGGAAGCACAGGACTGGCCATGAGAGAAGTCGATGCCAGGAAAGATTTTCAAGGAGAATACCGCAAGGCTCTAAAATTAGCATCAAAGCGTGATCGTTGCAGGAGACAAATGGAGCCAGTGTCAGGCTGCACTCTGCCACTGAAGTCTGAGAAGCAGCAGCATGGCTGCAGCCCATGATCGCAACACGTCACTGTGCCCAGGGCCTCACGATCCCTCTGCTCCCCTGTCCTTTCTGGGTCACCTCGCAGCACTCTCTGCATTTTGCACTTGGGTTCTGCAAGTTGCTGCTGTAAAGCTGGACAAGAAGCCCTGCCTTCCCCCAGGCTGTGGGAGTGTGGCCAAGCACCAGCCCAGGAATGCAGCTGCTCCAGCCTGGCCCAGCCAAGCCGGCCTCTCCAGCCCTGCATCCCCAGCCACAGCCAGAACTGGGCAGATGTCACCGTGCAGCAAAGTGCTGCTGCCCTGCACCACTGACCCTGCAAAACCAAGAGGAAGCAGAATGCCAAGGACCTGGATATCACCCTGCAAGACCAAGGATAAGTGCAGGGCCCTGTGGTCAGCAACAAGGCAGGCTGCAGGGAACTTCACTGCACTGGTTTATCAGAGCTGAGCAGGAGCCCCAGGGCTACAGGCTGTGTACCTCTGGCCTTGGGACCTCCTGCAGCTCAGCCTCAGCCAGGGGCTGGCAGTGCTGTACCTTGAGCCATCTTCCCAGCGAGGTCTCTGCTCCCTGATAAGTGAATGCAGTTCCAGTAAGCAGCTGCTCTGGAAAAGCAGAGATAAGCCTGGCTGGCACTGTGCTGGTGTCACGCCTCGCCACAGTGTTCCAAGGCTGGGACAGCATTCCTGCCTGGTCTTTCACCTTGCCACACGTTTGCATTGCACAGCAAGCTGTTGCACATCAAGGTGCTGCACTACAATGCATGCAGCTTGTCTTGCTTCCCCTGTTTGGCCACACAGCTCTCCCACCCAGCAGCTGACAGCCACTGGTTCGTGTAGGTGCTGCCCAGAGCAGCTGCTCCCAGCTCTGCTCAGCAGTCTCAGTAGGAAGGCTGTGGAAACAGATAGCGATGGATGGGAGGAGAGCCTAAACCAATGGAGGGGATATTTTTAATTACAGCATAGGAAATCCTTCTGCTGATAGGTGGTGACAAGCAGAGGAGTGGTGACAGAATGTGGCAAGTAGAAGAACTGATGGGAACCAGTGGGCACAGGGAGCAGGACAGCAGACACAGCACTGACCAGAGCAGCCCCAATGCGCCCCTGTGCTGTGGCCCCCAGCTCCATCCCCTGGGTCACGTCCCAGCTGCACACAAAGCACTCGATGCTGCAGCTGCACTCGGGTCAAAAGAAAGATGCTGTGCACATCAAGATATCTTCTCTAGAAAAAAAAAGTCTCACTGCTCAGATATTCCTTAAGGCAGGTCCCACTGAGCCCAGCGCCAAGTGCTTCTGTCCCTGCTCCTCAGTGTCCTCCTGGGGCATGGAAAGAGATGTCCCCAGTGTACCCAGTGAGGCCACAGAGGTGCCAGGGGCCACGCAGATGGTAGCACCTCTGAGCCACAGCCTCCCACAAGGGTGAGAAAAAAGAGTCACAGGGAGAAGGCCCAAGGCTGGAGGGGGGACAGGACAGCATCCCATCCCTTGAGGCTCCCTTTTCTTTGGTATGTACCTCGCAGCTTGGGGAAAGGCAATTCCAAGAAGCATAGGCTTTGGAGAGCCTGTTTCTAAGAAAAGGAAGTGTTTGCTGAAGAAGAGATAAATGCATATGGTGAACTATCGGGTGCTACAGGAGAAGAGCGGGATAGGAGCTGAGTGTGGTGGGGGGGGGGGGGGGGATGGGACAGGACCCCCTTCCTTCCCCTGGGGTCACTGCAGCATGGATAAAGGGCCTGGGGATCCGTCCTGCCACAGAGCACAGCTGTGATCCCGGATGTGTGCCCCGGGAACAGCAATCCTGAAGCAAGGGCTGTGGCAAAAACAGGTAGAAGCCTCATCTCTCCCAGCCTGGGGGGGTTGAAGGTTAGGGAAAAGCATCTTGCTGGGTTCCCACCCGACCCCACACCTCCTCCACTCTGCGCCTGAAGTCCAGCACTCCGATGGAGCATCAATTCTGACCATTCTGGCCTCGTGTTTGGACTTTGAGGCTTGTCCAGACACGTCCAGATAATCCTGGCCTCCCCCAGTCACCTTTATCTGAGAGGAAATATTTGGAATTCCTGAGTTGCTCAGAAGGAGGACTATGGTAGCAACAGCACGTCGGTGTCACAATCTCCGGCCCCAGCACAGGCCGTTCCACTGCCTCAACCCCGTCACATCCCTGTGACACAGAGGGGATGCTCTGGCCCAGGCAGTGAGGAAACAGCAGAGGTTTTGCCTCGCTGAGGCAATCCCCAGTTTTGAAGCTCTCAGGAAGGACAGCCCTTTTTCTTGCTGCAGCTTCCTGCTGCATGCGCCCCGTGCTGCCCCATGCAGAGCCTCTCCTGGGCCAGCAGCCAGAGGGCTCGGGACCTCATGAAGTGACTCAAACTGCCACCCACCCACCTCAAAATGCTGCCCCCAAGAAGGGTGCAGCAGCCCTTCAAACACAGACCAGCAGGCTGCAGCAAATGGAAAACATGAATGGGTTCAACTCCAAGTGCTCTCTGTCTTGGGTCTGACAGCACGTTAAGAAGATTCGAGCTTGAGCTGAGATAGCATTCAGGACAGGCCTGAAAATGGGGAAGAGCCCGAGTTTCAGACTCCTGCTGCTCCACACGCCAGGCCAGCTGCCTTCATTCAGCAGCACAGGTTGAACAGCGGGGACGACAGTCACTGGATCCCATTCATGGCGAGCGAAACAGACCAAGTTCCTCTTTCAAGATAAGCTGCAACACTTTGGGAAAGAGGATTCAGTAACACTGAGCTGTGAAGGGAGGTGAAGGCAGCAGATGCCAGCAATTAATCCCCATCTGCTCCCCTGCAAGGAGGGGAAGGGGCAGCTGCACCTCGGGTACCCCAGGCTTCCTTTTGTGGCAGGCACTGAGGTGCTGAGAAGCAGCCAGGCCCAGGATCCTGCTCGTAGTGAGCCAGGGCCACGTGGTGCAGCTTTGATACGGGGACCCCGGCAGCAGGCAGAAGGCTTCCCTGTGCCCTGAACACCGACGGGGTCCCACTGCCACCAGGGCTGTGCTTTGTGTGCACGGAGCAGAGCAGAGCCCGGCTGCTAGCACCAGCTGCACGTCACAGCCCCCACCTGCGCTCCATCCCACAAGCATGCACCTATTGAGGCAGCCCCACACAAAAGGCTTTCCCAGCCCAGAACCTTATTGTGCTTGATGAAAAATGAGCTGGCTCTCTCTGAAACCTCCTGCGGGATGAGCCCACACCGCTCCCAGACAGATTGAAAGCGGTGCAGCGAGGTTAAGTGCTCTGCTTGGGGTTGTGCATGAGCCAGCAGCGTGACCCACAGCATCTGACTCCCGATCCACACATCCTCATCACGAGGCAATGTTTCACTTGAAAACAAGGCGCTCTGTTTCTGTTGTACCTTAGCTGTAAGTACAGCTGTGTCACTGCTAAGAGGTTACGGCCAGGAGCGGAGTCATCTGGGCAAACAGACATTCATTAATGAGATGCTGGGAACAGTTTTGTGCTCAGAAAGGAGACAGGCGTGCAGAAAGAAAGGCAGCAGCTCAGTGCAGAGCAGAACAAAGCCTCGCGTCGGCAGCAACCTGTTCCCAGAGCCCCTGTGGGCTGCCAGCTCACCGCATGGGACTGGCATGTGCAAACCTGTAGGTGAAGCACGGAGGGGGGGGCGGGCCGCCAAGGCTGCTGAGGTCGTTCAGAAAAATGGAAAACATGAGTATTCCCAAAGGCTGCCAGTGGGATCCTGTAAACACAGCTCAGCGGGTCCCCGTACGGCGAGTGCAGCAGGTCCCTGAATGTGCTAGAGCCATCTGGAGGTCCCCAATGCCCCACTATCCAAGAAGGTTCAACCCCAGGCTCACAGCAAGCAGGGATGCCCCCGTCCCGCCCCATCTTCAGCCCAGGCCGCAAAGGAGGGCAGCGGTGTCACCCCATGGAGCACAGCCTGAGCCCCCGACCGGTGCGCATCGTGCCAAGATCTGCCATCCAGGCGCCGCTCTGAGCTTCTCCAGCCCCTCAGCTTCGGGCTGGGGATGGGACGCGGGTTGGGGAAGGGCCGTGGGGACGGACACAGCGCAGCTGCACGCCCCAGGGACGAGGCTGTGTTATGCAAATGCCGACCTCCAGGGAAGCAGCTGCCGATTTCCATGACAATGGCCGGGAATGTCGCCCGCCCGCTCGGGGCGCAGAGCTGCGGGGCTGTGCGTGCGGATGGACCCGCAGCTCCGCAGGGCGACGAGCTGAGCCCCGCACCGAGCCCTGCCCCGCCGAACCTGCAGGGCTTCAGCGCACGCCGGGTTTGGAGCCAGCTCTTCCCTAAGCAGAAACAAACCCTCAGCAGCACATTCCAGCCCTAATCCTCGCCGCGGCAGCCT